TGAAAGAACTTGTAATAACAGCAGAAATGGTGGAGAAAAGGAAGATCAAGAATTGATCAGCACCAGGTGAAGATGAACTGCATGGTTTTTGATTGAAACATCTGACTGCTCTGCACCCACTCATTGCCAAGCACTTTAAAAACATACTGCAAGAAGGTGAAATTGAAGATTGGTTAACATCTGGCAAAACCTACCTGGTAATGAAAGATCCAGCAAAAGGGGCAGCACCAGGCAACTACAGGCCAATTACCTGCTTGCCAACAACTTTCAAATTGCTAACTGGTGTGGTAGCTGATGCAGTCCAACACCACCTAGTTTAAAACAAGCTCTTTCCATCCAAGCATAAAGGAAACCACCCAAACATCAGAGGGACAAAAGATCAGCTTTTAATTGACAAGATGGTTTTGGAAAACTGTAAGAGAAGGAAGACCAACTTGAATGTAGCTTGGACTGATTACAAGAAGGCATTAAACTCCCTGCCATATCACTGGATAATCAAGTGCCTAAAAATAACAGGAGTCAGTAGAAACATCAGAAGCTTTGTGCAAAGATCAATGGCACCGCTGGAAGATACCGTTGCTGGTCAGTGGTGATAGACTGGGAAAGGTTAACATCAAGAGAGGAATCTTTCAAGGAAACTCACTATCATTACTACTGTTTGTCACTGCACTGATTCTTCTGTCAGCAATACTGAACAAGTCACGACATGGCTATCAAACATCAAAAACATCTGCCAGGTTATCCTACCTCCTTTACATGGATGATCTGTAGCTGTATAGAAAAACACTATTGAAATGGAATCACTGCTCAGCATGTCCAAATATACAGCTGAGATATTGCAATGGAATTTGGTCTGGACAAACGTGCCACCCTGACCATCGACAGGGGAAAACAGTGAAAACTGAAGGAATCAAGATGCCCAATGGAAATAACATTGAGAGTCTAGATGAAGAAGATCACTACAAATACCTGGGTATCCTTCAGGCTGACAACATCAAGCGAGCTGAAGTCAAGAAGAAGGTTAGTAGTGAATACATCAGAAGAGTGAAGAAGATCCTAAAGTCCAAACTCAGTGGAGGAAATACCATCAAGGTGATTAACACCTGGGCAATTCCAATCAGTACATATACAGCTGGTATAGTGGACTGGATTCAAGCTGAATTAAAATCCCTGGATAGGAAGATCAGAAAAATAATGACAATGAATTATGCCCTTCATCCATGCAGTGATGTTGACAGACTCTGCTTACCAAGGAGCATAGGTGGGCGTGGACTGTTACAAGTACACCAGAAAGTTGAAGAAGAAAAAAGGGAATAGGAAGAATATCTGAAGGACAGTGAAGAAGATGCACTGAAACTAGTACACCATGAAGGCTTACTGAATACCAAAGAAACCAAACTGGCCTATAAAAAAGACCAAATGAAGAATAGAAGAGAGACATGGCACATCAAAGTATGACATGGCCAGTACACAAAAAAACTAGCAGGCAAAGCAGATAACAAGACCTGGCAATGGCTAAGAGCAGGAAAGTTGAAGAAAGAGACAGAAGGGCTAATTCTGGCTGCACAAGACCAAGCCTTAAGAACAAATGCATATAAAGTCAGAATTCAGAAGACAGCAAATGCTGCCTCTGCAAAGAAGCTGAACAAACAGTGGAACACCTAGTCAGCTGCTGCAAAAAGACTGCACAGACTGACTACAAGCAAT